GACAGATGACAGCATCCTGGAACGTGACAGAACAGCCCGCTCCACTCACACCCCCAGCCCCCCCCCCCCCCCCCCCCCCCCCCCCCCCCCCCCCCAGCTGGCACGTCGTCACACAGTCGATGCGGCGACTCGTTCGCTGTCAAAAAACAATCGGCGCTGATACATTTCCTTATTTTTCAAATGTTGCTCTGATAAGAGCAGCGGAAGCAGCTGGAGGCTCCGCGTGGAAGCGAATTAAACAAAAGCTTGTGGGTGAAGCCCGAGTCGTTCAGGGATATTATACTGAACGGAGAACAATAATAAAAACAAACAAACAAACAGTGGGTGAAAAAAACAGAGATTCTGTTTAACTTGTTTAGATATGGCCGTCAAAAAAAAGTTTTTAGTGTATTTTATGGGGGGTGGGCAGTACCCTGGAATCACTGTCAGCCTCTTCACTCTGGTACGAGGAGTGGGGGCTGTCTATGGCTGAATTTACCCCCCGGGAGTCTCCTGGGGAGCCATGAGGCTCCAGAACATGGGGGAGGAATAATGGGGGGCAGGGGGCTGATAGCATGCAGTAACCCCGCCCACTCGAAGCCACCACCGAAATCAATCCTTTCCCAAAGTCCTCTTGCCGTTGAGCTGTTGAGCCTGATTGTGACGGAGGTGCTTGGTGGCTGATGGAGATAAAGAAGCTGAATCCGGCGACCGGGAGGCAGGAAGTGGGGGAGACGACTCTTCTGCTTTTTTGTTATCAGTCATTCCCAGCAGGAGCCAAACGACGAAAGGGATCGAGTGGAAAAACAGAAGGAAGAATACGGCAAGCAGCCGAAGGATGAAAATGATGGACGAAGACCTCAAAGAGACAAACCGAGGTGGGATCTGACCTCTCTACTCCAGTGACAGCGCTGTCCGCAGGCTGTGACGCGCCACTACACCTCCGCCGCTGTATCTACCACGGTTCTGGGGAATGACATCATCGAAGCGGTTATAACGGGTTCTGTAGCCCGGGTCAGACTGGCAATTTCTTTACGAAGTGCCAATTCTCTTGTGGGCCTTTTTCCGCTGAGCGTAGAATACGAGATGATATTTTTTTATCCTCTGAAAATGTGTGAGCCACATGGTTAGCTGGCCCCTGTGCTATCATGC